TAGGGTCACACACAATAGAGTTGATTGGAAATAAAAGGATAAATGAGAGAAAATCAATGAAAAATTAATTGGGGTGAAAACCTAATCAAGAGTTATTAGGGACTTTAATACAATTAATAGTTAATATAGGGATTATATGTAGTGATGAGATAATTGTAACTAGACCCAAACTAGGATTAGAGTCTTCTAAAGCTCTATAAATGCTTTTATAAAGGAGGTGGATATATGAGATAACGAAAAAAACAACTCTCTTGCAGGTACAAGAAAATTCACCTATTATTCTCTCCCTCTACTAGTTTATCAAAGGTTGAAATAGATTTTTCAAATTTATCAATTCGTGTGTATATCGATAGAGGCCAAACTATTGTGAGGCTCGGGGTAATGATCAAATTCAGATTTGAGCATTCAAAATTTTTGAGAATTCGTTAAAGGTACACTTTAATAGGAAACCTTTAATCTTCTCTATAGATTTAAGATTTATCAGTTCGTATTAAACATGAATATATTTAATTTTCACTGCGTTCATTTTACGATTCTTTTTCACTTGATTAATAAGGACAAAACTGGGTAATATAAGAAAGAGATAACTTGATGAGATGAGATAGTCTCTCTCTCTCTCTCTTTAGGTTATGCATATACATTTGTCTTTTAAGGTTGAATCTTTAACTTATTTTGCAGTATTTGAATATTGAATATTGTATATCGTAGTTCTGCTAACTGCAAATGTAAAACCTCAAAGGCATTTTTAATTTCAACATCAGATCTGGCGTCAACTATTCTTTTAATTGACATAACTTTGCCAAGACAAAATAGGTTTTTTTGCATGAGGATATTATTCTCTAAAGCAAGTCTTTGTGTAATCTCCTCCTTGCGACCAATGAAAATAGAGTGACAAGTTCACAGTTCTCGAATTAAGGAATTTTTATGAAAAAATGGAATCTTTCTTGATTTCATTTATCCTAGATTTCGCAATCTTAGCATTCTCATATGCTTCATTTCTCAATTCCTCCAGTTCGTTAATTTGCAGTTTTCTTGAAAGTCCAGCCTTGTCCAAGTCAAAATTCATTGCTTTAATGGCCCAGTATGTTCTATGCTCCAATTCCACACGCAGGGGACAAGGTTTTTCATAGACTAATCGATAGGGAGACATGCCCAAAATTATTTTAAAAGCAGTGCGGTATGCCCAGAGTGGATCAGTTAGTCTTAACGACCAATCTTTGCGGTTTGGATTTACCATTTTTTTAAATTAATTTGATTTCTCGATTAGCCAATTCAGCCTGTCCATTAGTCTGTAAGTGATAAGGGGTTACAATTTTGTGAAAAATCAAATATTTTTTCATCAAATTCTAGAAAGGGCGATTGCAAAAATGAGTACCCTCTCTCTTATAATTGATTTCGGAATTCCAAAATGGGACAAAATTTTTTTTTTTAAAATTTAATCACCGTTTGGTGATCATTATTCTGACATGAAATTGCGTCAACCCATTTGGATACATAGTCTACAGCTACCAGGATGTATAGATAACCAAAGGAAGGAGGGAATGGTCTTATAAAATCAATGCCCCAACAGTCAAAAATTTCAATCACAAGAATTGAGTTTAAGGGCATTATGTTTCTTTTTGAAATGCTTCCCAACCTCTGACATCTATCACAAATTAAACAAAAGGCATGAACATCTTTGAAAAGTGTGAGCTAGTAAAATTCATACTTTTTAGAACGTAAAATACGTATACGACAGCTAAACTGAGTTTTTTTTTCTTTGCAAAAGGTCTCAAATATAGAGAACAATTCATAATGATCTTTCATAAAAAACAACCATGTCACATGAGAATAATCATCTACAAATGACACAAAATAAGGATATTTATTAGATGAAATATTCTTTATTAAACCCCATACATCAGAATATACCATTTCAAATGGACTAGACACACGATTATTGACTCTAGACTGAAAGGACACACGGTGATACTTACTAAGTTAACAAGTTCACCAGACACATATGACACATAACTAAGATTAGGAATTTGGCGCTTCAGATTCTGGAGAGAGGGATATCCAAGACAACAATGTCATTAAAAAAAGACAACGAGGTTTGTCGAGTCCGAGTAGGTGAATCAAAGTCAAAGTAAGATAGGCCACCAGCTTTATGTCTCGTACCAATCTTCCTCTTACTTTTGAGATCCTGAAATATAAAATAAGAGGGATAAAATATTACAGAACAATTCAGAGAGCTGATAATTTTGCTAATGGAAAGTAAATTAAAAGAAAACTGACAAACAAATAATACAGAGGATAGAGACATATTAGGACTCAAGTGAGTAGTCCCAAAACCTGAAACTTTAGAACAAGTACTATTAGCAAGAGAAAACTATGTGTAAAAATAGCAGACTGATAAGTAGAAAAGACACCAGACACACTAGTCATATGGTCAGAAGCGCCAGAGTCTATGATCCAGGAACTATGAGTGGAGGACAATAAACAAGTGGAAGCGATACCTGACTGGGCAAAAATAGTAGTGGAGGAAGATGAACCAGTCTATTGCTGGGGCATGAACTAAGTATACTCCTCACGTGTAATAGTAACCAACCCAGAGTCTAGTGGAGTTGACTGAGGTATAGAAGAAACAACTGAGATGTCATCCTAATAGGAAACTTGATTAGCAATACCAGAAGGTTTTACATGTAAATCCTAATAGAAATCAATAGTGTGTCCTCCATGACTACAGTGAGTACAGGAACAAGGTCCACTATGGCCCCTACTCATGTCCACTCGTACGACCTCCTCGGCCTCCATGACCACCATGATTACCATGTCCACCTTAGTGACTATCACTGTGTCTACTAGGAACCACAAGAGCTGAGCGATCAGTGGAGACACCATGATCGATGCCTGAAAGAGTAGACAGAGTAGCATGCTGTAAACGAGAGAAAATCTCAAGGAGAGAGGGAAGACTAGAACCACCCAAAATCTGAGAACGAATAGCCTCATATTCAGGTTTTAATCCTACAAAAAACCTAACAACATCCAAATCCTCATGTTGCTTCTGCCAAACTGCTACATCAGTAGTGAACAGATGGTAGAGCTTCAACTCCTCATAGACTGCCCAAATGTGGGAGTAATAATCCGCAAAGGCTCATAGTACCCTGATCTAGCTGGAAGTACTGCTTGCATACCTCATACGCACGGGTAAAATTACTTGTACTAAAATATATAGTGGCCAAGTGATTCCATATCTCTTTAGCAGTGTCAAGGTAGAGCAGAGTAGAATTAATACTCGGCTCAATGCTATTCAACAATAAAGAGATAATCTAAGCGTCCTTTTGTTCCCACTGATCATACCCAGAAGTATCTTCATTAGGTTTGGGATTAACCAAATATTTCTTAAAACTTTTGCCTCGAAGAAAAACTTGAACGGAACGGGACCATAAAGTATAATTGGTCCCATTGAGTTTAACGGAAGTCATGAGACCATTAATAAAAATCGGAGAAGTAGAGGTAAGTGGCAAGGATGGAGCAATAACATCTTGCTTAGGTTCCAAAATAATATAGCAGATAGTAAAACAGGAGCAACCTTATTGCTAGACAATTGAACAAAGTAAGAGAAAGTAGTTGGACTGCTAAGCAGACAAGAAAAGACCATTGGATCGTTGAACCGGACTGGAAGACCTCGCTGGACAGTTGAACCGGACTGAAAAAACGGACTAGATCACGGAACTAGCGTGAAAGTCGATAGAAACGGATTGAACTGGTGCCAAACTGACTAAACCGGACCAGAGAAATGGAATGGACCGTTGAACTGGAGCAGCAACAGAAGGAGCTGGTTTGAGCCGATGCAAAACTACCTGAACCGGCTTAGAGTGGACCAAACCGAGATTAAACCGGCCTATAATGGACCAAACCGAGATTGAACCGGCCTTGAACCGATTTGGTCTGGGTCTTGGGATGGACCAATTTTGGTTTAGATCTTGGGCTGGACTAGGTCTGAAGTGGGCTGGAACCGACCTATAATTGACCCAAACGAACCTTGTCTTCTTTGTCTGATTAGGGTTTCAAAAGAAACTCTCGATCTTCGACGGCGCTGACGCCCCACTATCACACCACCACAACGGGTTACACAGCAGCACCATCGCAACCGCCACGATGCCACCAATCTCGATGACTAGAGACCACACCACCACAATTGCAGAACACAGAGGTGTCCACAATCGCAGAACACAGAGGTACTGATGTCGACAACACCTCAACAACGCCTCACACCGGAAACCTCCACCACAGACATAGCACCACCGCTACTACAATATGTCACCACCACCAAGTATCGCCACCACTATGTTGGATGATAGCAGTACCACCACACAGTGACACCACTTCGACAACAACACCACCTTAATAGTGACACCACCAAGTCAAGGTAATTTTCACAACACAAACACACTAAGATTTGTATTTAGGATCGAATTGCTCTGATACCAAGTTAAGTTTAGAGAATTAACACAATATTAGAGAAAGACGAAGAGTGGACAAAACTTAACCTACTCTCACAAACCACTTGTATTTAAAGTTAACTTAGAATAATACAAAAGATGTATTAGACCCTCTAATATTTACACATAATACCCTAATACTCTTAACAAATATAAATACAATTAGTTTGTTACAAATTGGTTTAGATGGTTATTTTGCAGTATGATATATATCATACGCGTGCATACGAAAGCCTCGATATCTATAGCTTGTTGTAGTTTGCATACATCATTTCTTTCCATTCGCTTTATCTAGACCATCTGAAACCTTGGCAAATATTTTCCATCTTATGCCTAGTTCATGATCTTTTGCTCTTCCTTTGAACCTCAACTCAAGAATTTTTGAGACTTGTGTTCATAAGGTTGATTGTGTCTTTCATGTTGGATGTTCACCATCCTAACCTCACTGTTGAGTTCTGACATACCTTTAGGTCTTTTGACAATTGTATAATGAAGTGTTTTGTTAAATGCATCATGTTCCGTACTATTAGGTTTTTATGTTTTCCAGTTGAACATCAAAGTGCTGCAATCAGGGCTCTTCGTGATGTGGAGGTTGAACAGTTTCAGACTTGGTGGCGTTTGTTCCATTCGCATTTCTGCAAGGACCAGCTACAGACTCCTGTACTGCAAGTTTTCAAGGAAAACCTTCCAAATCTTAAAGTTGTAAGTAATGGGAAAGATGGGAAAATGAGGTACGGAGGGATAAAGATGGTAGAATATTTATTAACCAGGCTAATGGAAGAAGCATACATGTTTCTCTTCTACACAGGATGTCAGTAGTTTATCCCAATTACTCTGCTGCAATGCCTTCTTTTAGTGGCTTTGAATTTTCAAGCAAAGCAGGTAGTAGTAAGTCTCTTTAGATGTTTAACAGATATGACATCATATTCTTTGTATTAATTTCGTCTCACGAGTTATTTCTTTGGTGGCAGCAAAATCCAGCCTCATTGGTGCAGAGAACCCACCGATTGGGGGTTTTGTATGTTTTTTTCCCTTTCCTTTCTTTCTCGGCCCTCCTTCTTTTTGTCTTTTTTGTTGTAATGGGACGGGATTGGTTCATATCAAACTGTGCTTCTTATGGAACGAGAAAACTAGTTNACCGATTGGGGGTTTTGTATGTTTTTTTCCCTTTCCTTTCTTTCTCGGCCCTCCTTTTTGTCTTTTTTGTTGTAATGGGACAGGATTGGTTCATATCAAACTGTGCTTCTTATGGAACGAGAAAACTAGTTAGTAATATGTGTTTCTGTCTCTAATATATGTAAAAGGAGTCAGGAGTGTGTTAACATGTTATATGTCCTTTACTTATATCTCCTATGAAAATTGTTCTATAGGTTTTGGAGGAGCCATCCAATCCTCAGATGCTTGAGTTTCAAGATGCTTTCCAAACTCCTGCGTTATGTAGCTCCTTATTTAATTAAAAAAAAATGAAGAAAGAGAAGTATCATCTTGTTGATTTCTTCATGCTATGTCTAAGCTGTTTATAGTTTCTAGAGTCCATTGTTTTCTAGACTATTTTGAACTTAAAATGGACATTCATGTTTCGATTGCTGAGGCATATAGAGGGAACTAATGTCAGAACACAGTTGCACAGGCGAGTTCCAAATTTCACTTTCTTTAATCCAACTGGAGTATCTTGAAGAATTGTCTAAGGGGCCATCCATATGTAACGACATTCAGCCATATTGTCAGGACATACTGTTTGCCCTTCGCTTGATTCTATAGTTTCTGAGGTTGGGCATGTAGTAAGTTGACCATGGAGCTTTCTGTCCTTCTTGAAAGTCAGCAAGGCTAGTGCTTAACTCCTCGTATTCAATTGCAAGTAGGAAAACGATAAGAAGTTAGGGACAGTAGTTGGAGTAGGCGTAGAATGTTCCTCTTGGAAATGCTAGTAAATTGATCGCCCCAATGTCCATAGTAGATTGATGTACAAAATAATTACATAGTCGATTAATTACACTTGTAACATTATAAGTTCTTTTGTAAGATGTTCTAATGATTTTTCTTTGTAGCTAAATGAATATCCGGATGGCCGTCATGTTTGGTATTTGTGATGCTGTGGTAGTAACTCGGTGGCTTCAACTTATGATTGCAGGTTAGTAGCCAGAGGTTGTCTGTTGGCGTAACACCCAAAACTTTAAGGCTTCCGAAACATGGTGAGGTGCTTCTATCTGTTTATGGCTCACCTCTAGGTTTCTATAAGAAAGACATGGAAGCTATACATGGTGTACTTCTCTGTTTGAATTATGTGTTACATCCATTTCATAAAAGGCATGCTTAACGGAAAATATAGTTGTTCAATGCTTTCTAAATGGTGCACTAGACAGTATTTATGCATCTGTCTTGGATTATCCATTTTACTTTTATTTCGATATATTTACTTTGAATGCAGAGTCAGAAGAGGGTTAAATGGCTACCCGTAGCTCGACTAGCTCACATTGGTTGAAGAAATTGCTGTATTTGCCAACATGAGGGTAGTTTGGATGTACTTCTGTTACTCCATCATCTCTTAATATATGGCTTCTTTTTAGTCCCCAGGTCTCCCTTTGTTTTCTTTCTATTTATTATTTTTTTTCTTATTTTCCGAAAATGAAAGAACTCAAGAAAGCCTTGGGGGTATCATTTGACGTTATGTGTTATCCTTTAGAGTCATTCAGATGCTATTGGAGGCCATTTAACGCACCAGCATTCATAATAAGTACGAACTGTGCACAAATAGGATAAAAATAGTTTATAAATTTTGAATAAAGTGCTTGGTAAGGCTCTTGCTCATACATTTTACCTAACAAAAAACAATACCAACAGTTACACTGCCAAAATAATTTTAATATCTAATTTATTCATTTGTCCAGGTACCCATTATCCAGAACAAGAAAGAAAAATATGCTTTTTTGACAAATCAAGAAAAAAATACAAAGAGAAGAGAAGATTTCCTCAAAATACACACCAGTCACAACATAGGTGGTGTCTAAGGGAAGCATCTGCAAACAAGCATTCAAAAGTAATAGCACCCCTCCTGGCCAACAAACTGGCATCAGCATTGGCTGCCCTATGCAAGTACCTTGCAGATTGCAAGACCAGTATGTCCTTTGAAGAATTTGATCCTACCGGTGATAATAAATAACTCAGCTTAATAAGTCTATTGTCAAAAAGCAGAAACATGGTCATGCATAAAATAGAAATGAGTTTATCATTATCATGACACTTCAAAAAATATATATGGTTATATGATTTCCTCAAGGCATTGGTGATTCTGATAATGAACAAAGTTGTCTAGCCCACCACGACAAGTTTCAGCAAAACAGAAAATGGAGTGTCACTTGAGCAAATCAAACAGAGGATGAAGAAACTTCCATTCTTTTCAGTCCCAATCAAGTGGCAAACATATTTTAATTATGGTATGGTGTAAACAACTCAAGCATTCAAAAACTTATAAGGTCATGGAACACACATTATTAATGAGTCATAATTATTGAGACAGCCGTCCATGGATAGACCCCGAGTACCTAATCTTAAGCCCCACCAGTATCAGTTCAGCAACATGGTCACATGCACAACTTCTAAACCACCATCTTTTAGCAATAGCTGGTACAACTTGTGATCCAAACAAAATTTTCAGAAACAGATCCAACAAAATTTAAAAGGAGCAAAAAATAATATTTAACAAGTAAGAATTTGGAAATTCCACAAGTACCTGGTATATTGGGTAAGTTTACACATTCCCACCCATGAAACAAAGATATAGCAAATGACATGACTCCAGAAAAAGAAAGACACCAGTATAAATAAAAGAGAAACCTTCTATTGTTATTAAACCCGAAGTTAAACTAAATTCAATATTAGATAATACCTTTGTACACTCTGCTGCATGCTAATTCATTATGTTTCCCCATTGCAGTCTAAGACGTGACAAATGGTTAATTAATGCAAAAAGAAACATGAAATATAAGAATGGTTAACAGTGTTTCCAGCTCCCACTGAAGCATGGGACATGACAAATGGAAATTGGTGATATATTATTGGACGCATTTCAGGTCTTATCTACCACAGCATTACACTCAAGTTGAGTGTTGATTAGATAGGGAACATTCAACAGGAAAGAGCATTTAAAGTGGCACAAGAATATGGACAGAGTTGAAAATCAAAGAATGTTGAATTGAAACACCTTTATGCACAAATGCTGAGTTTATGAAAACTGAATTTGACTTAGATTATAGGAGCTCTCTGTGATGTTGCTAAATGAATATAGATGAGAACCAGCAATGCATCTGTTTACAAAATGCCACTTAAGCTGTAATCTTCTGGTCCATNTTATGCACAAATGCTGAGTTTATGAAAACTGAATTTGACTTAGATTATAGGAGCTCCCTGTGATGTTGCTAAATGAATATAGATGAGAACCAGCAATGCATCTGTTTACAAAATGCCACTTAAGCTGTAATCTTCTGGTCCATAAAAATGGCAAAATGCAGATCTATGGAAGATAAAAGAAGAAATTTGGTAGCTGAAGCTGCCGCTTGACAGTAATACATGGAGTTCTCAAGCAATAAAATGTAAAATGACTTGAGCAAGTTAATATTCTAGTTCAGAAAGTTGTTGTAGGAAACCTTGTTCTAGACATGCTGTTCGCCTAGTAGCTTAGTATGCCGTTACAACATGCACCGAAATCAGGGGTTCAGACCACTCTGAGTGGTTGCTATCAGCTAGCAGTGAGGATAGTTCAGTCAATTGGTGTTTGATTCATGATTTGGAAGTAAAATCGTCTCCTCTGTTGGAAATTACAAAAAATGAAATAAATAAAAAGTTCACCTCTATTGGAAATTACAAAAAATGAAATAAATAAAAAAGTTCGTCTTTGTTCTTCTTTTTCCTTTTTCTGCTTACTTTACTTATTTTTGGCAGAACTTATGAATGTCATCATACATAACTAGGGTATCACGAATTCTCTAAACATAAGAACTTTCAATTTCTAAATAAAGTACAAGCACAAGTGATTTTTAAATAATTTCAGATATTCTAGAAATGGTGAGAGTTCTATCATACATGTATAAGAGATCATCCATAATGCAGCACATTTTTCAGCTCCCAAACTCATTCATGAAGTTTCTCAAAGCAATTGTGAAGTCCTTGCTGCATTGCCACCCCCAGATTTATACTTCGTCACATTTTTTCTACTTGAAATTCTGAATACCTTGAAACTGCCACTTTCATAACTCTATTATGCTTAATTCCTCAGCAAGTATGAGTGAGTTCAACGCAGAAGATTCTATGTTGGAACTTATAAGTTATATCGAAACGACTAAAATAAAGGAAAAGAGAAATGAACACCCCTTGTCAAGAAACTCAAAGGATTCAAGGTCTCAAATGTTCGAACAAATCTAGCAAAGACTTGCAAGTTAGAAAAGGGAAACAAAGCAAGGAATTTTTGTAAGATCAGAGTGGCTAAATGACATAGATCAGAATGGATAAATGCAAAAAGGATATTAAAAAAGGAACTTATAAAGAACAAAAAGCATACCACATAATAAAGGCAACGAGATTGAAGCCATAAAGTAATCCGTTGCTGAACCCACTCACCGTCTCCTTGACATAAAAAGTTCTGCTTGGATCATAGCTTAGTCTAGATGTTCAGGAGCACACCAACAAAACAGCCAAATACCTCCACCTATTGCTTTCCAGTAACAGCTGGCCTGCTTAACTTCTTTTTGTCATTAGCAGCCTTTGGGTCAGTGAGTGAAGACCCAAAGGCTCCTAAAGCATCCAGGAAGAACCTTTTATTGGGAATGATACCATCTCTGTCCATCTGCGCCATCAATTTCTGTAATAGCTCCTTCATGTCAGCTTTAGTGTAAGCCTTATAGAGAAGTTTATATGTTGAGGAATCTATACGAAAAGTCTTAGTTGTACATGCACTCTCAAATAACATGTCCGCTTCCATTGGTAAACCATTCATGCAGTAAACGTCAAGCATGGCATTTAGTGTTGAAACCTTTTTCTCCTTCTGAGTTTCTATCACATCATCAAAGGTATCTCTTGCCCTCGAAACACAATCACAATATCCATACATCATGATGAGACACTCATATGTGATGAAGTTTGGCGTGTATCTCATATCAGTCATCTTCTGGAAAACAAACTCTGCTCTCTCTCTAAGCCGTGCTTTTCCATAGTTTGTGATCATCGAATTAAAAGTTGGAAGTGTTGGTCTTTCTTTGGAGTGCAACAAGCTTTTAAACACTTGTTCCATCTTATCAAATGCTTGCTTCCTCCCATATGAATCAATCAACAAATTAAAAGTGATGATGTCTGGCTTCACCTGTTTACCCTTCATTTGTGAAAGCACTAATTCCATTTCTTTGATCATTCCATTTTTCCCATAGGCATCCATTACACCATTAAATGTGAAGATATCAGGGGTAACAATGCTCTCATCAAGATCTTGGAACAAAGCATCAACTTGCCCCACATTTCTGGCCTGAGCAAAAGCTCGCAAAAGAATGTTGTATGTCACAATATTTGGCTTACAGCGTTCCATTCCTTTCATCTTGTCAAAGTATCCAAGAGCCTTGGCCAAGGCCTTGGATTTGTCCCGAGAGTGAAGGTGGGCTGTGATGAGTGCATTGTAAACCGAAGTGTCAGCTCGGCATCCACTGTTACGCATCTCAGAGAAGAGCCACATGGCCATCCGGGTTTGGCCTTTCCTTCCCATAACTGATATTAACTTCGAATAAACCCCATTATCTGCTATATACCACCGTTGTTTTTGCATCCATCTAAAAACCTAAATATGAGATGCATAATAAGCAAGTGGACATTGATGAGAATGCAAAATGTCATATTTTTCTCTTTTAATATTTAGCCTTTTATACTTATTTGGAGCCTAAATATACTCATTATTCTTATATTTTGATTTAGGACGCAAATGGAGACGTTAAATGCAAAATGAAAAAAAATTGAGATCACACAATGAAACAACAATTGAGATCTATGACCTCCACGATACGTGATTTAGGCGCTGCTGGCCTTGTGTTGATTGATGAACAAGAAGATTAAGTTGTATTTCTGATGAGAATACAAAATGTCATATTTTTCTTTTTTAATATTTAGCCTTTTATACTTATTTGGAGCCTAAATATACTCATTATTCTTATATTTTGATTTAGGACACAAATGGAGACGTTAAATGCAAAACGAAGCTAATTGGATGATTGTGCACAGTTTCGACATTGCTTCATAATCTGGGCATAACTCTCTCATCCAAGCTCCGATTGAGATGATTCAAGATGCTATGAAATGCCAAAGAAAATATCTACAACTTTCATGTTTTGAGTTTTGAGAGATATTGATTGCATCAAGGGAAGTATTGAAGGCAAAAGAATAGATATGGAGTATTATTATGCAATTTTCAGTTTTTAGGCAGTTCAATCTATGGAGCTTTAATTGAGGTTTGGATGGCGTTAGAGTTTCAGGCTGAGAAAGTATTCTTCATGAAGTTTTTAGAGGACGTCTTAAGCTTTTCAGAAAGGTATGGTTTGCAAAAATCCGAGTTCGTTTGGGCCTCCAAACATTGTTTCAAAGTCAAGCCGGGAAAACTAATCAGAATCCTGATTAGNGCAAAAATCCGAGTTCGTTTGGGCCTCCAAACATTGTTTCAAAGTTAGGCCTGGAAAGCTGATCAGAATCCTGATTGGAGTTGAATTCCTTTCCAAACTAGTAAACTTCGGTGGGTCATAACTTGTGTTTACGAAATCCAAATTAGGTGATTCAACATCCTAAATTTATCTACACATTCAGGGCTACAACTTTCATGAAGAGCCCAAATCAATATTCAGTCGTTATCTGATAGAAAAACAGATCACAAGTTCCAGCACGATTTCTGTCAATCTGTTTTGATAAGGAATACCTATAATATAGGGATTTGAGTTGTACACGTTTTGGGAGTGTGATATGTTTTCTATATTTATTTAAGGAGAGAGAAAGAAAGAAAAATGAGCATAATATAGAGGCTGCTATACCCCTTCTTCTCTAACTCTTTCTTCTAGTTTTCATGAAGACCATGTGTGGCTAAACTATAATACTTGATCTAAGGAAACGGAAGCTTCAGAATCAATAAAACTGTGAGAT